GGATGCAAGCTGTGTGTGGCCTTGAGCCTTCTCTTAGAAGTTCTGGGTCTGTCTGACCCGCTGCAGTTAGGTAATTACAGGTTGCAAATGGCCGGGGCATTCATATGCAAAAGCCTCTATGGCAGCCTGGGTGGGCGGGGTCTCAGGGAATCTGCAGGCGGAGCAAGCGGCTATGGCGGAGCCTCAGCCCTGCCCTAAGGAGACGCGCGCGTCTCAGTGGTGTCCCGGTAGCGGCTGCAAGCGCCTCTGAGGGAAAGCAGCCCCCAAGATCGCCCGCTGCCAGACCGTCCAGTTTCTCCCCGCTTGAGTTCTGGGTCCCCAGAGACTTCCCGGAACCGGAGTTCAGAGCCGTCGGGAGCTTGTGACTCCCTCCGGATTCAAAAGGACAGCCGCGTCCTCGGGTGCCAGCCCCTTTCCGGGCGCGCGAGCCCCGTACCTCTGCGCTTCTCTCCTGCAGCTTCTCTGGGTCTCAGTGTGCCTCTCCTTCCTTCTAGTTGTAGAGTTTACAGTCAGCCAGGCTTCCTATGGTTCTGGATGAAGTCCGTATTGTTTCTCTGAGGTATTAATCAATTGTTGTCAACAAACCCTAATTTTTAAAAGAATAATACAGTATTCATGCTACTTATAAAACCAATTAAGAAAGAAAATATAAATAAATCAAATATAGGAAAAAAATAGGCTGGAGGTACAACTCCAAACAACTTTCAAAAAAAAGTATTATATACAACTTTAACAAATTTAATATGTAAAAAATCATGATAAATTTCAGGGGGAAATGGAGGAATGGTGAAGCTGCTTCACCAGGAAATAAAAAATAATAGAAGAAGAATAATTAATAAAACTGAATTGATCATCAAAGTCTTATCTTTCCAAAAAGCCTAGCCCAGCTGGCTTTATAGGTTAGCACTAACAGACTTTTAAGTAAATTGTTCTGGAAAACTGAAAACAATACAAACTTTCCAATCTTTCCTCTGAGATTAATGTAATCTTAATTAAAAACTGATAAATATAACAAAAGTAAAATGAATACAATTTATTTATAACATGGATAAAAAATTATAAATACTAGAATATATCATGGCAGGTATTGGTGGGGATGTGAGGGTAAACTTTTATAGACTGTGGTCTTACAGATTTGGGGGAACATCTGATAGTATTTAATTAAATTATGATTGTATGACTCAGAAAAAATAGGCACTTATTATATGCCTAAAATAATATGTTCTTAGGCACATGTGTTTATTCTCATTGATTTTGCTTAAACATTGCATTTTATTTCAGACTTACAAGTATATTATACAGTGTTTGGTATTATATAACAGTTGGCCTCTCACTGAAAATCAACAGATGTTTGTTCAAGCACTAAAAGAGTTGGAGAAAAGTGATATCAAAGGTATGTCAGCCTAATTATTATTTATGCATTTAGTATTTCATATAAATACTTAATAGCAATTTTAGCATGTAATTATTAAAATATTAGCAACTCAAAATGGATTGAAGACTTGATCATTAGACCAGAAATCATAAAACCCCTGGAAGAAAACATAGGGAGTAAGCCCCTTATCATTGGTCGTGGCGATCATATTTTGGACTTGATACCAAAAGCAGAAGTAAACAGGTGAGACCACATCAAACTAAAAAGTTTTTCCACAACAAAGGAAACCACCAAAAAGAATTAAAAAAGCAACTCATGGAATGAGAGAAAATATTTGTGAATTATATACCTGAGAAAGAGTTAGTGATCCAAATATATAAAGAACTTATAAAACTCAATGGGAAAAAATCTGATTGAAAATGGGTAGAAAAATTGAATAGACATATTTCCAAAGAAGACATACAAATGGCCAACATGTACATGAAAAGGTGCTCGACATCACTAGTCAGCAGGGAAATTCATATCAAAACCACAATGAAACACACCTCCCACCTGTTAGAGTGTCTGTCATCAAAAAGACAAGAAATTACAAGCATTGGCAAGGATGTGAAGAAAATGGAGAATGTATATTGATGTAGCCACTATGGGAAACAATATGGAGTCGCCTCAAAAAATTAAAGAGACCCCGACCATATAATCCAGCAATTCCACTTCTAGGTATAAATTAGAAGGAAATAAAATCACTATCTCAAAGAGATCACTGCACCCTCATGTTCATTGCGGCATTATTTACAATAGCCAAGATATGGAAATAAGATAGGTGTCCATCAATGGATGAATGAATAAAGAAATTGTGGCATATATACACAATGGAACATTATTCAGTCATAAAAAGAAGAAAAACCTGCTGTTTGCAGCAATAAGAGTATACCTTAAGGGCATTATGCTAAGTGAAATAAGTCAGACGGAGTAAGACGAAAGCTGTATGGTCTATTTTATATGTGGAATCTGTAGAAAACAGATGATAGAAACAGAACTGATTAGTGGTTGCCAGGGAAGGAGCAAAAGGGTGGAGAAAATGGGTGAAAGTGGTCAGAAGGTATATTAGTCCAGGGGATGTAATGTATAGCATGATGATTATAGTTAACAGCACTGTAGTATATATTTTAAAGTTTCTATGAGAGTAGATCTTAAAAGTCCGCATCACAAGAAAAAATTTGTAAACTATGTGAGGTGATAGATGTAATCCAAACTTAATGTGGAAATTGTTTCACTGTATATACATATCATTATGTTATACATCTTGAACTAATACAATGTTATATATCTATTACGTCTCAGTAAAACTTGACAAAAAAGCATTGAAAACTTATGTCTATACACAAACCTTTACATCGATGTTTATAACGTCTTATTCATAGGGGCTTCACGTACATTGACACAATTAATCCTCACAATAAATGCATGAGGTAGACGCTATAAGTAATATTTTACAGATGAGAAAACTGAGGCACAGACTGTTTAGTACCTGTTTAGTAACAGCTAGTTACTGCCATAGCTATGATTTTGAATGGGGATTAACTGTTCAGTGAAAGCTTTTGAACAGGGAAAAAATAATTTACAGTAGTACCAGTTCCAGATCTTCATTGTGTCCTCAACACATGCCTTTATTGGGGGAACTGCCTATATTTTTGTAGTGAACATAAAAGTTTGTATAAATTATTTTATTATATTTTTCCTTAGGATCTTTTAAGCTTCTCAACTACAAGTTATTCAGCAAGATGGATTTCCAGTAAACAAACCACTCTAACAAACTGCCATATTTAATACATTTAGGTATATTGATGAATAAATGTTAAAAATTCTAGAGGAAAACCAAAGAAAAATATTGATAACTGAAATGGACACAGTGGTTTAATTCATAAAATAGAATGGTGCAAAAACATAGAATTAGATAATGGTACAAAATTATAATATGAATTAAGTTTTTAAAAGGAAGGCAATATTAAATAAAGAAATGCAGCATACCAACTAAACTGCCCTGTGTTGGCTACCTGAACCTGGGTTATTGGTCACCTGTAAAATTAGAGTGATAATTCCTACCTTTTAAGGTTGTTGTGAAGTTTCAAGATAATATGCATATATTTCCTAGAACCTAGTAGCACTAAAAAAGGTATTATTAGTAGTATATTTTCCAAGTAAAAAATAAGTCTTGAGAATTAATTGTCTTCTTTTCTGACATCACATTTGACAGTTTTATGAGTAAATGAGCAGCTGCTAAAATTAAATTACACCTTGCATTGCATAATACATTTGTTGCTGAAAGCAGCAAGCAAAGAAATTCAGAATTGAATTGTGTTTAAAATGAAACTAGGAAAATTTTCTATTTGAAAGAATATGTGGGTTAATCTTTTTGAAAGTTAAGCATGCAGCTTTTGGATTTAGAATAGTATCTCTGATATGTTGATAAATGTGAACTTTTAGGTCAGTAATTTGTTTAAAACATGTCATCAATATGTCAATTTCTATGAACAATTATAGTTACAACTCAGAACCTACAAACTTTAATTTTAAGGTTTGATATATTTTAGAAAAATTAAGTTGCTAATTTTTTCTGACTGTAACTTAGCTTACTTTTTAATTATGAATAATTTATATCAAGAAGAAATTGGTCAGGCATTATGTTTGTTAATATATTCGTGAGCCAATTTAAAATTTTAGGTACATCCTATAAGGACACGTATGTAATATGGTAATCAATAAAGAAGTTTTAAAAAAATAAATAAATAAAATTTAGGTACATCCTAAAGTCAATGGAAATCTTGGCCCATTAACTTATTTAAACTCAACAGTTACTTTCTATGAAAAGTGTGGTACATAATTTAATGCTTTTCAAAAATTTACACTTTTATTATGCATGATAAAAAGTAAGGCTTGAAATAAAGTGATATACATGCAACCTAGGATATTTGTATCATAAATATGAATTTTAGAAAGCGTGGCCTCTGGTTAACATGAGGCAACAGTGCCACCTTTAGTTACAATTCTATACCTACGTTTTGGTAAAAATTGCTTACTGAGACAGCTCTCACTTAAGAAAATCGGAATTGGAGAATCTTGAGCTGGTAGTACTGTACTTAGTAATATTATCTGCTGTGATATGTAATTAGTGGTTTTGCAAAAACACATATAAACTTGGTTATTCTCAGTTCAGGACTATGAAGAAACAAATCCATTTTTATATGTATATTCCTGTTTCTATTTACCAAAATGATTGTGATTGGTAAATGTATACTTCTTAAACAAGTATGCTAGTTTGGAAATTACATTAATGTTCAAGTCCCAAGTAGTTTTAGCTCCTGGATATCTATATATCTATCTATCTATATCTATCTATCTATCTATCTATCTATCTATATCTATATCTATCTATATCTATATCTATATCTAGATCTATCTATATCTATATCTGTATGTATCTCTCTCTATATTCCTGTCTAGGGGATTCCCTTATAGAGGGAATCTCCTAATTTTAATCATCTCTTCTCAAGTGGGAAGAAGAGTGAACCAAGAGTTAGGAAGCCTGGGTTGTAGCCTTAGCCTCGAGCTGTATGACTGGGGAATCGTCCTACCTCTCTGGAGAGATCGCCCTCAGTAAAACAGGCTTACCTACACCTGTTACACTTACCTTACAGGAATGTTCTCAGGATTTGTGTTTGAAGCATGTGGTGGGGTTCCGCAGGTGGGGAGGCGGTGAGGTGGGGAGGCGGGGAACCTTATAGGCCCTGGTCACTGGCTAGGCCTAGGGAACCTATCCGTGCATGAGTTTCATGCAACTGGGCCTCTAGTATAAATATAAGCATTGAATTTTAATATAAAATCAAAATTACATTCCTGTAATAGGTGTTATAATTCACTGAATACTTCTGTCTATTGTATCCTGGATATGTGTAAGATAATGTAAGGGGATATCTAAAGGCATAATGCTAAAGATCCTTTCAAGCTCATTTTATCAACAGATCCTCCTTGGGCAGGTCCTCTCTGCAAGGGGTATATTAGTTTATTTCAGTGGTCATTTCCTCTTTAGCTCTTCTAATTACATGAATACACAATGTGGACATGGGGTCGCATTTCTTATAGTTTTTGAACCAGTAGGATACTTATTCCTACCTCTTACTGATATATACACTCCCAACACAGGCAGATTCCCTATAAAGCTTTACCTATGAAAGTTAAACTACCTCATAATGAGTACAGCATTATAGTAGGTGAAACTAGGAATTTAAAATGCAGTATATAATGATATTCTGGCCTTTTGGAGAACTTGTAAATCATGGGAGAAAAGGTTACCATGCTGTATGCCATTAAACTGTGAAAATTGTTTTAGTCTGTATATTAACAACGTAAGGAAAGAAGATGGTACACACCTGCTAGGTGGCGGACACTCTAGTAGATGCTCACTTATGTGAACTTGAATATTAGAATATGGTAATTTGAATAGAATCCAGACACTGAGACCTATGGATAAGAAAAAAGAGTTCCAGAAATACCTAATGGGCAGCTTGATAATCCATGTCATCTGACATTTGTTAACATTTTACAGTCCCAAGGCATACTAAGTATGATTCTATTTTTAAAAGATTATTTTAACCCCTGTAGGCTTGATGTCAGTTTCTCCCTTAAATAGAGGAAACTTAAACTCAAAGAATGTAATAAACCTGCCAGAGTTAACCTATCCGCTGGCTAATCAAGGATTCACCTCCAAGTCATTTGACTATTTGGCTGAAAGATTTTCTCTAGTACAACACTTCTCAGCGGCTGGAATTGCTGGAGAAAAGCAAGTCGCCCCTGTAAATGCATGGTGCTTACATTCAGTCCCTTTGCCCTCACACAGGAGGATCTGCCCCCATTTTGAAAATACCTAGTAACTGGCACCAAGTATCTGATAAGATCTGGATGCTTTACACTTGCTATTTTACTTTGCTACTGGGGTGACTTACAAGACTTTTTGAAAGGGTCAAACATGTCCTTTAAACTTGTATTTGAATTCCGATTCAATTCTTATCATTTGGGAGAATTACGTAACCTCTCTGAACTTACCCAACTGGATGCTTCCCGAAATGAAAGAGAAAGAAACATAGTAGGGATTCAACTAAAATTATTTGCTCCCCTGCTACTTGGCTATGTAGTTCTTAGGATCAATAGAACATAAAAGGCAAACAACAACAACAACAATAAAACCCCCCGTGTTGAGAAAAGGTAATGATGCCTCTTAAACGTAAACCAGTGGTTTTTCTAAACGTGGTCCTTGGACCAGCAGCCTCAGCACCCCTGGGAACTTGGAATGCAAATGTGGGGCCTCTACCTCAGACCTACCAAATCAGAAATGTTAGGGGTTCTACCAAGAATCGGTTTTTAAACAAGCCTTTCTGTGATTTTGATGCAGGCCAACATTTCAGAACCAGGCTTGCAAAGAAAAATCCAGCCTCCTTGAATTCTAAATCATTGGTCTTCCTTTTAGCTCATCCTTCACAACACTTGTTTTTAGCAAAAGGGAGTATTGTATCCATTGCTTAAAGTGTGTTTCTCCAGGCCATTTGAATCTGAAGCACTTAAGGTAGTTTTTAAAGTTGTGCATTCCTGGGCCCATATCAGACAAAGCCATTGGAATCTCTAGGTTAGGGCTCCAGTATCTACATTTTATAGCTTTCTGCGTGATTCTTTTGTTCACTGAAATTGTGAATCACTGCATCACTGTAACAGTTGAAGCTGGGAATTTAAAATGCAGCCTTGAAATCTCTGGGAGCTGGATTTTGCGGGAGCACGAAGCTGAGGTGGTGGCGGTGGCCACCGAAACTGGAGACAGCCCAGGTGTTTCATATGGCTTAGGATGATGATGAGCTGGTGCTATGCCACCTTTATGTAGCAGAGGCAGCACGAGGAGACCGAAATCCATGGGCTCCCATTTCTGTACAAGCAGTGTTTCTTCAATCGCAAAGTTTTTGGTTGAAAAAGGACACCGAAGAACGAAGGAGAAAATGTATCCTCTGCAGCCTCTTACCTTTTATCCTGGGTTTCTAATAAAACGTGATTTTACTGCGTGGCTTCCGATAAATATCTTTGTCCTTCTTCAGTCGATACATTTTCAAAGGCTTATCATCTCTACCCATATGCTTCATCCTCCTCTAACCTTATCTTTTTTCTTTCTGTGGTCTCTTATTTTTATTTATTTTTTTTTTGCTTTTCTGCTCACAAGTTAAATCATTCCCTTTTTGTTGTTGTTGTAGTTGTGGTTCTACTTATCACACTTAAGTGCTGAGCTACTTAGAATAGAATCTCACTTACCTCCACCGAGTTTTTTGCAATTCCATGCTTTTGTGACAGGGTCTCTATAGAGAACTCTGAGAGACCAAGCCTGTGTGAATTCGCCATTCTCTCAGGATTCTGCCCCAAACAACAAGCAGAGTTAACTCAGGAGGTTCAAATAAGAACACAAATCCAGGAGAATAATGGAAATGACAATGTAAGGACTCCAAAAATTAGCTCTTCCTTAAAAAATCAATAAAAAAATGGGGCAGAAATAATCAGAATCAACATTTTCAGAAATTAACAAATTTGGAAATTAACGAATACTTTATTCAAGAAAAACAGCCAAATCTCTTTAAGAGCAGTGAGCTTTATGGTATTTTCATTTGCCCCCATCTCATCCCCTGGTCTCCAGCTCATTAGTAGCCTTGAAAACTAACAGCCTGTCTGCCTGGTGGGTTTGTAGCCACCAGAAAGAGTAGAATGGAAGTGGATCTCTTTTAAAGTCTCATTCCAAAAAATAAAACAAAACAAAACTGAGAAAAATTGTCACCAACAATTCTGCCTTTTGAGAAATACTAAAGAAAGTCCTTCAAGCTGAAATAGAAGAATACTGGGCAGTAATTGTATCCACATGAGGTAATAAAAGACTCCATAAGAAAAAATTTAAAAATACTTAGAGATGAATAAAAAATATACCAAAACTAATGAAATGCAATGATACCAATGCTGAGGAAATTTGTAGCTATCAATGCCTGTATTTAAAAAGAAAAATGTCCCTAGTTGGCTTGGTTCAGTGGATAGAGCATCAGTCTACGGACTGAAGGGTCCCGGGCTCGATTCCAGTCAATGCCCAGGCTGTGGCTTAATCCCCTATAGGGGGTGTGTAGGAGGCAGCTGAACAGTGATTTTCTCTCATCACTGATGTCTCTATCTCTCTTTCTCCCTCTCTCTTCCTCTCTGAAATCAATTTTTAAAAGAGATATATTTAAATAAAAATAAATAAAAAGTAAAATGATCTCAAATCAGCAACTTAAACTTCCATCTTAAAAAATTAGAAAACTAGGGGAAAAAGGAAACACTAAACCCAACTAAGCAAAAGAAAGGTCATAATCAATGTTAAAGCAGACATGAATCAATTCACTCTTGTTCTGGAGATACTAGTCAAGGCAATTATGCAAGAAAATGAACTGAAAACATCCACATTAGAGACTAATTACATAGCAGTGATGGTGTATAGCCTTATGGATATTTCAGAACCCACTGATTTATATCCTTTAACGGTGAGTTTTTAGTATGTGAATTATTTCTCAATGTTATAAAAGAGTCACAAATTTTTACAAAAGATCAATTTGTTTGCTTGTTTACAAGAAAAGAGAACCCAAATGCCTTAGACTAACCACTTTTTCTTGAATTGCTTCCTTTGTTTCTACATGACATGATTTTATTGTTCTATCAGGACTCACTGGTTTCCATTTTATGTCTCCCTAGCTCATGGAGAGAGACATGAGGAATTAATTTCCTTGGGAATCCCAGATTCCCATTTTATTAGTGAGGGGCAAAAATCTTCAGGAACATCCAAAGCAACAAGGAAAGGCAAAGAAAAGTCTTCTGAGAGAGAAAAGACAGCCAAAGAAAAACAAGCACCTCGCTTTGAGTCTCAGGTGGGTGTGGCACTTTTTCTTATTGGAGTTACTTAATGCATTTAGGTTCATCGGGTCCCTCCTTGCCCATCGGGTCTCTGCTGAAGACAAAACTGTGAGAAATTCCACCTCCCTGTTTTCATCAGCCATCTAGATAGCTTAAGGACATTCCTTGAACACCTCCTGCAAGCGGCCTTCCCTGTTTTAGTATCAAAAAGCGTTAATTTAACTTTTAATATGTAAGACACTATTTGGGGCACTTGGGTTTCTAATATTACCATTACACACATCCCACTCTGAAGAAAATTACAGTCTGATGGAGGAGACGGTGCAGTGGTAGAAAGCCATAGGTCCCTTATCTAGTTTCTTCCTGGAGGAGCAGAGTCCTGAACTGAGTCAATGAGCAAGGGCATGCTGGGGCAAAATCTAGATATGAAGCAGGAGGGGTAAGTATCAGATGGAGGAGAGCCTTTAAGCCTCATTAGAAGCTGGGACTCTTTTACAGCCCAGGCATCCTTAACCCATATTCCTTCCAGGCCAGTTAGATAATTATATGATGGGGATAAGAAAGATGTGGGTGAAAAATTTGAGGAGTGCAAGCACAGGCTTAAAAACATTCAAATTCAAGTTATTTGAACACTAACCTCAAAACAAAATACCTATGAGGAGGATCTCTTCCCATCATTTGTGATCATTGTTTAAGCTAAGCAGGGCTGGGGGGTCAGGGGTTTAAAATGTGTATTGCCATGGTCAGATTTACATTGCAGATCCCTGATGACTTTTAAAGGTATGCATTTTAAGGGTGAAAGAATAGAGATGGGGAAACCATTCAGGAAGGTACGTCAGTGCTCCAGGTAAAAGAGTGCAGATGTATTAGGTACAGGCCAAAGAAAGGAAGAGTAGGGCAAATCAAGAAATATCTAGGAAACACACAGGCTATGTAGTTATTCATCCAAAGTAGAAGATAAGGAGCCAGAAAACATGGAGGATATCTCCCAGGTTTCCAGGTGGATTAACTAAATAGGCTGTTAGTACCACTAGTAAAATGGACACTGAAGAAAAATGAACAAATTAGGAGACGATGACTCAGTTGTCCCAGACTCCACTTGTATCTCCAAGATTTCATTTCTTAGCTGTTGGAGTCTACACTCCGCAACATCGAGAAGTAAATGAGCCATATCTGATTTCCACTGGGGGCAGGAGGGTGGCCCTGAGGCTTCTGCTCTTCTGTTTGTGTCAGAAGCCCAGCGGATGCAGCCCATCCCCAGTCCATGTCAATGCAGGAAGAGGCCAGTGAGTCACCGCTGCTGAAGTGGTTGCAGCCTGCCTCCCACAGTGCAAACATCTTGTGGGAAAGCAGAGAAGCAAGCAACTGCTTTTCACGTGCTCACCTCCACATTATTGGATGGTAAGACACATTAGTCTACAAAGAGGATCTCAAACAAGCAAAATAACGTGTAAATAGACCAAAAATGCAGCACGCATTTGAAGCAGCACTGTAACTCTCTGAGCAACTATGGTTTAAGTATAGGGGCTTTGAAACTTAGCACTTCTGCTTTGCCAGGACTTACAAAAGTGAGCATTCC